ATAAGTCATGACGTTTGTTGTTTTATTTTCCTAATTTAAACACAAATGTGGTCAAATTTCCATCAAGAGCTAAATGCTAGATTAGCTTTGGTTTCAGTCATATTATCTGTTACTCCCTAACCCTGCTCAGGACTCAACACTTGAATCTGTAGCCTCTTGTGCACGTGCTTGACTTTATACATGTGAAAGAAGTAGCAACCTTCTGCTCACGCACAGGGTAATGAATGTCACTGTCAGTGTGTCAGAGAGCTCATACACCATGTGTCACTGAGGCAACCATCCTTTGAGTCACACACACAGTGGGTCACACAAATGTCACACAATGGAATGAGTCAAGGCTTCCTAGTCTCATCCAAACACGCTCTGATTATATGTTCATACTAATATGTAATCAAACCACATAATAGGATCTCTTTGTAACTGAGCCACAACACGTCAATAGTAGGCCCCAGAGATGGGAAGTCACTAAGTACATTTACTCAAGTGTTGTGCTTAACTTCAATTTTGAGGTACTTGTACTGTACTTGAGTATTTTCATTTTATGCTACGTTGTACTTCTACTCCACTACAATTCAGAGGTAGATTGTGTACTTACTTAGTTTCTTTGCAGATTTGGATTAATGATAACAAATATAAGTATTGAATCAGACTTTAGTTCCACCTGGAGTAAATTCACAAGCTACCCTGCAGTATACAAAGTCATTCAAACTAGCTGCACCTTTACCATCTTTGATAACACTTTAATGATCAATCATTATAAAACATATCATATATATTATTCTGAAAAGGAACAATCTGCACAATGACTACTTTTACTTTGGGTACTTTTACTTGAGTAACATTTTGAATACAGGACTGTTACTTGAATTTCTGCACATTGGTGTAAATAAGTACAAGATCTGAGTATACTTCTCCCACCTTTGGTAGATCAAATAAATTACAAGTAGCTCAACATTTTACAGTACCACCATTGGTAATATAGCTGTAACATAAAAACACTTCCCTTTTCATTTTCAATTTAAACACAAGCCTTGTTTTCATGTTGGGCATAAGGACATCTGCGACCCGCTCTATCGAAATCAGTCGGAAGTCGCAACGGCTCATTTCAAAATAAACGTGGATTTGCATAAAAAAAATAGTTTTTCGGGGTTCGGGTGTTATGTTTGATTTTAAATAAACAAAGTCTTAGCTTTCAGAATATGAAACTTTTATTTCCAAAATCACACGATAAATACATGCTTGAAGCTTGTAAAGGGAAGATGACAGGCACCTCTCACTCGCCACTCTGCTGTTCCTCAGCGCTGCTTCCCCTCCCTCCCTGAAATTATGAATGTAAGCGTATAGTAATCATAGATAACACGGCAGGGTCGGTTACAGTTTGTTTTCATCTGATTTAAAATAAACAAAGTCTTGGCATTCAGAATATTAAACTTGTTTTGGAAAATTCAGATGATAAATACAACTTTGAAGCTTGTAACGGCATAATTAAGCGGAGAACGGAGTAGCTTAACGTCACAGCAGGCATAACAACAGCCGGTGTTTCTCGTGAGGGTTTTCCCCAGGAAACAAACACAATACACACAAACGCAAAGATACACACACACACACGCGAGCTTCCCCCAGACCAGTAATCCAAACCAAAATATGTTTTCCTCGATGGACACAATAGTGTATACAACTAAAAATGTGTCTTCGGGTCAATGCGACTGATTTCGATAGAGCAGGTCACATCTGAGGTCATATTTTAGTATAATGTGAAGTTAGCAGCTGTAATGTTTTTGAGATACTTTTTTTCTTTTTATTCTAATTTCATCTAATATTTCAATCGATTCACTACTCATCTGCTTTGACATCTTCTTGGGTGATTGGGAGCAACAATTAATTAATTAAAAAAAGTATTTGTACATCTATTTGTATTTTTAAACTGGAAGACAACCAACAGCAATTAGCAATCTGGCACGGTTACCGATTTAAACAACAAAATATTGTAAATTCAAAACTAGTCTGCTTTCAATGCTTTAAAAACATGTTTCTATTTCAGAAATGAACCTACTTACACCGCTAAGCTTAACACAGCTGAGGTTTCGCGTGATTATGTTTTAGTAGTCTTTACTTTACTTGTTTAGGATCCACTTCTCTTTATGACACATTAATGCTTTGGACATTTAGAAGTGGGGAGTTTAATGATGTATTTTATGCTGTACAACAACATGTGAAAGTTGTGAAAGACCTTCTTTCAGGCATCTAAACAAAAAGTATTCCATAAAACCATTGACTTCTACATATGGAAGCCAATTTCCACCACAGAAAATAAAAAAAATATCTGTTAAGTCATAATTATGACTTACTATCTCATGATTATGACTTGAGATAGTAAGTCGAAGCAATGAGACAGTAAGTCATAATAAAGAGATAGTAGGTCATGATAATGACTTAAGGGATACATTTTTTTTTTTTTGTGGCGCGAATGGGCTTCCATATACAGAGAAGGGAACATAATCCTGCCAAAACGCTAAATCATTTCCAGGTTTGCAACTAATTTCTGCAGCACTCTGTTGGTGTAAAACTAATTCCAGCATTAAGTTGTAACTGCCAGATCCCAGCGGCTCAGTTTGAACTGTGCTGCTGCTGCAGTGTTAAATAGAGACGGAGCTCCAGCCTGAGGTTAGAGACACAAAGAACACATGATGTGAAGTAACCACAGGCGGTTGGCCCACCAGTGCAGACCCACCACAGAGATTCACAAATCTCCATTTTGACCTACTTTGTAAGCTTATTTACAAGTTTATACAGTTTTATGAAGAAAGATCAACGGACCGTTTTTTAAAGTGAAGATTAAAAACCTACTGTAGAAATAGGCTAATACAGGGATTTCATGGTTTCATGTGAACCTTTCCTATCCATCAGGATTGTCATGTTTCAGTGGTATATTTATATAAATACCAATGCTTTCTTAATGCAAGATAACAGTGGTAAAAGTTGGACTTTAGGACTTTGGCTTGTCTTTTTATTTATGAGTATGCCTCCAATAGCTTATGGCCAAGTGGCCAATTTCTGTATGTGGATGAAACCTGGGCTCCGATTTTTCTCCCCATTGTATCTAAACCTCTCTGTTATCTGCTCCTTCATTTCCCTGGAACCTTCCTAACCTTTGGTTCACCCGCCTGTCCACCACAGGAGAACGCGCAAAACCTAATTGTGGTCGTTTTCTAGCCAGGCTACCGTTGCTCGGTTTTGGTTCACTTGGGCACGGTGGGATCAGAAACTGCACATTTAGTATTAGAGCATTTTTACAGCTGTCCCTGTCACCATGCACTAAAGCTGCCTTCACATGATACGCGATAGATGTTATAGATGTCATCTGATTTGTTGAAAGGTCGACAGCAAACAAGGTCAAAGTTGTAATAATTTTACCTTTTGAGCGCATCGCTAAAAGACAATTTCAAGCGGTGCCGAACGCAGAGGGTAGCTCTGTCCCCTAGTCTGCTGGTACCCCCCTCTCCACAGAAACATTGCTGTATTGAGCAGTATACGGGATTTTGACACACAATGCTACGAGCAAGTTTCAATATATGCTTATTTGGTATAGATTAAACCATCCAATATTATATTTAAGTAACTAAAACCAGTGTGAGTGTGTTAACAAAAATGTAATTGGCAGCAATACAGCTAAGACCTTTTTTTTCTCAGAACTAAAACAATGATTTAAGATCCATCTATGGTCAGATAAAAAAAACAAAAAATTGATTTAATCCTCTTCTATAGTTCTTGGTTTATCTCCATCTATATTCTGTAACTTTATCCATGTCTTCCTTTCCTCTGCAGTTCAATGGGAGTCCCACACTGAGCATCTTCACTTTGAAAGGAACATAAGAAAAAGAAACACTTCACTCACCAAAGAGCGACTTCCTTATCTTATCTTATTTTTCCTCTCTCTTTCTCTCTCCGCAGCTCAGCCTATTACATCCAAGCTTGATGCGAATTGGTGGGCGTACAAGGACGTGGTGCAGGGCAGCTTTGTTCCAGGTAATAGACCATCTGCAACCTCATCCATTAGTCATATGAATTGTCTATGTGATCATTTTATGGCTTGTTTATTCTGTAGAAAAGCCATCTTTTGCACAGCGGTCTTTCCTGGGAGAGGGATCTTTCCTTAGTTGCTCTCCCAGGCATTTCTTCTATTTTAATCCAAATAAATGAGGGTTTATCCTTCTCCGCCGCAAAGGTCTAAAAACAGAGGCTGTTGTCTGCTGTACGGACTGTAACAACCCTGCATGCACATTTGTGATGTTGGGCTGTATAATATTTGGTTTATTGATATACAACATGGTGTCATAAGTACTGCACTTAACGTGGACCTATCATGCTATATTTGAATAATATAGTGTTGGGCCATACCTACTGTATATAAAACATGTCTGCAAAGTTTTTTTTTCAAAATACCAAACAGATCATGCATTTTAGCCATGCCTCATTTCGCTCTATTTGCTCTTTTTTAGCCCTGTTTTTGCAAGGGCTGAATCTGAGAAGTCTTCTTCGCTGGTTTTGTGGCAGACTACAGCGCCACCTACAGGCCTGGCATATGTACTACAGCGTCTCCAGTGCTTTCAAACTGCAATGGCCGTGGCTGTCTCCTCCTGATAGGTGGAGAGATGCCCATATAGGCGGAGCTCCTCGTTCCTGACGTCATAGAAGTGTTCAAATCTGGATCAGTTTGTATCAGATCCGTTGCAGCCCCATTTTTAGAGATTTGGGTATTGAGGAAAAGAGAGAGGGTTGTGTTTTCTGACACTTGGTGAGTTCCCTGACACACCGGGGACACATATTCATGTATAAAAGACGTACAAAAGTGCATTTTGCATGATAAGTCACCTCTAAGGACACATTTGAGGTACCTGTTCTTAACCCGACCCANTGTGTAAGCCTGGATATAACTGTGTGTGTGTGTGTGTGTGTGTGTGTGTGTGTGTGTGTGTGTGTGTGTGTGTGTGTGTGTTTACCTCTCTGTGTGTGCTGGCTGGCAGCACAGGAAGCGTCTCGTCCACTGTTGCTAGCAGAGTCCTGAGGGCCAGACCCACCTCCTACACAGAGACATATTTTCTCATCAGTCTTCAGTTAATGTTAATCCGTTGACTATGGACCTTTAACGTTTGTCTAAACCCACTAAAATGAGGAGGTGGGGTGATTGGTATCTTTGACACATTTCTTCTAAGTTAATAGAGTGCCAGTGTTTCACAGATTGTTGCACACTGTCAAAGTGGACAGTTGTATTGATCCTACCTTGACCATTGGGACGTACTCCTCGGGGGCGGCAGGCTGGATCCTGTTGGACATCTCAATCACAGCTTTAACCAACCCCGTCACGTTCTCATACACTTTGTCGTTAGAACGGTCCAAGTTGGCGGTGGGGGGCGGGCTGATCTCCTGAGGCTGCAACTGGAGCCATGGGAAGACATGACAATGAGCAACGAAAAATGGAAATGTGACACCTTTGAAAATGTTATTAAAGTTAAATTAAAATGTTCAAAAGGTCTAATTCTCCCCCTTTCTTGTGGTTGTCCTATCAGTGTTGATGTTAATTTGAAGACATAGATCCATCAGAGTGCTATGTTGAGCAGGAAAGCTGATTTCAAGATGAAAACGAACATCTTTTTCATCTCTGCATGAATACCAAACTACGACGGGACACTTTGGCCTTCTCCGTCAATAAAGCATATGCTGAGAAATGTACTGCTCTACTTGACTACATTTACCATCGACACTGATTGGAAATCCACACAGAATTAGCAGTTTTCCTTCTTTTATTTCTACCAGGTTTAACATAGGTGACTGTAGTTATACAGACACAACACTAGGGGGCAGTATGTGACTAGATTTGATCACACAAATAATATTAGGTTTGTGTGTCTGTGACTGTTATTTCTTACTACATGCGTTTCTACATAAATACTAAACACTTTCTACGACTATGTTAGAGGATGTTAGCACAGTGGGATGGCAGGACAGACAGTTTTATAGTGACTCAATGTTCAACCTGCATTAAGTGATATTTAAAATCAAATGATCTTCTAGTGTAATGTGATGTTCTGTATACCTGCTGAATCTGTAACGATTTTATGGTTGACACAAATCAAATGGTGTGTCTCTTTTTGTCGTTCGGTCCCCTGGTGGTACAAATCCCTTAATGCAGGTTTATTTAATGTTCACAAAACTACTCAGTTGATTTGATTTAGTTTAAGCTGAGGCCATTAGAGAGGGGACGTAATTAAAGCAAGGCTAAAGTGATTTGTAGGCCACCACATTAATGAGGAAAGCTCAGAGGAAATGAATCTCTAGAGAGCTTTATTTCAATAAGAATCGCCTTAAGCTACAATTTAGTTTCTGTGCATTTAATGTTGGCTTCTGTAATGGAAAACTTTAGTATATCAGGAAAAAGATCAATTAATCCCTCAGCTTCTCCTGGGAAAATCACAGGGACAAACAAATAATAATGCAGAACTATATAACAAGTTAATTCAACTTTATACTCATTTATTTTATTATTATTATTTTATTTATTCTATACTATCTAAAGACTATGTTAAGATGCAATGGGAGACACGGTCATCAGTTTACAGTGCTTCTATCGATCACTACGAGGACTCATTTGTTTGATTTTTCTTTACCAGGGCTTTTTGTCATAAAACATTAGCTATGACCACAACGAGCCTAAAACCAGCTGTTTAAGTTTGGAATAATATGGATCAGAGTAAAGCTGGAAATACCCACGCTTTAGAGCCTAAAAACTGGATTTCTGCATGAAATATTGCTGAAGGAGATTCACAATTTATGTACGAAGTGTAATTTGTTGTGCCTCTGGTAAAGAAAAAAAAATCAGAAAGCTTAATAAAGCTTCTCCACACATGATACTAATGGTAACTAATAGCTAACTACTTCCATGACAGACAAACACAAAGATCAGCTTACCCTCCACGGCTAGGGGGAGGAGATAAGGGGAGGTGAGGGTGGGGGGTGACAGGGAGGAGATTGGAGAGGTGTGCAGCAGGTTGTGATAGGAGGGGGAAGAGGTGATGGATGAATGATGGATGCAGAGTGACAGGTCAGAAACGGGAAACAAACAGAAGGAAGGCATGGATGTTAATGAGAGAAAGGGGGGAGAACAAAATAAAAGGGGAGAAAAGAGGGACAGCACATTAGGCCAAAGCAAACCACAGGCAAGGCGTAGCATGGCACCGCATGCAACCCATAAGCAAAATGACACATTGTGAAGAAGTTAACTCAAAAGCAATATGCTAGAATAGGAAATAAGAGCAAAGTGAAGGAATTGTATTTTTATAAATGATCTTAATTAGCCTCATCTTATCGTTTTCAAACTGGGGAATACATTTTCTCTTTGTCCATAGCTGACGTGTTTTATATATCCATACCTTGACCCCCTCGTTGTAGCTGTCCACGGGGCACAGACTGGACAGGTTGGTCAGGTGAGCAGGAGCTCCAGGGCGGGGGGGCTTCTTAGGAGGAGCCACATGTTCTGAAACAGAGAGGTGTGTTAGTGTTACACACATGTGGGATGAAGTGATGCATGTAAACAAGTACTCTGCTGGTGTGAGTAGTGGAAATGATGTCATATAAATGAACGGTTTTGAGCATGGATGATTAGAAAGTTAAATGTGGGCCTATTTGTATCTCTATTTTAATGTGTTTTGTAACAAATAAATAATGACGTTTTTTAAATGACAATAGGATTCAAGAAGCTTTCATAATGCTGACAGGTAAAACAAAAACTACAATTTAATTTAAAAGCACTTGTGTTTTCCATTCAATGCTACATTAAACTTTTAATATTAAACATAAATAAAGTGATCTGTTTTTGAAATAGAGATGAAGGAAGGTTGAGCTAATTTCATAAATCACTTAAATACTCCTTTAGTATATTAGCCGCAGGAAATTAGAACTCTAAAGAACGCACTTCAGTTCCATATCTGGTTTTACTGTTGATACTGCAAGACATTTTGTTAGTAACATTTCTGAACCATTACTTGATTGATGGCCATTTAGTTTTGAATTGACTACAGAGTGTTATCACTTCTTTTGAATCAGCATGTCAGCATGCTCATCCTCTCACCTGGTTTCCCTATAGGCTGGTAGATATGTTGGCTTCCACCCTGTGCAGAGACAAAAACACACAGGTAAGCTTTACATTGTCTTTAATCATTAAACGAGAGACCGGTGTTCAGAGAATTAGCCTGCAGAAAAAGTTAATATTTTAAGATTTCACAAGTTATGGCATATTAACACTTTACAGTTGCAACATATATAGTGTGAAGATGATAAGGTAATTGCTGGGAATGCCTTTTAAGAAAGTATATTCCCAATTTACAGTGAAATGGGACTGAGCAGTGCCTCAGGCTTCAAAGTTCCCATGAGTCCTCTGTGGTCATGTGGTTGGGGTGTAGGCAGTACCCTCTGTGGCAGAAATACTTTCTGTCCCAGCCTCTGTTCCCTCAGTCTGTCTGAATGAATACATTCCCTCTGTCTCCCTCTTACACAATTACATTCTTTAACTTTCACAACTTCCATTACATTACATGTTTCTTGTTAGACGCTTTTATCCAAAGCAAATTACACACTCAATACTGTGGACAATCACCCCAGGAGCAATTTGGGGTGAAGTGTCTCAGGGACACAACGACATGCTGACTGCAGTGGGGTTTGAACCTGTGAGCCCCTGATCCGAACACCAACACATAACCCACTGTGCCACACACCATACAAACTGACACTCTTTTCCTCCTCCCATTCTATGCTCCTTTCCCATTTTGGTTCCCTTATTTTAAAGTAGTGAGCCACCGATTCCAAATGTATAAATAAAACAGAGACTGACCGGTTGCAGAATGCCGTCCTCTCTTTCGATGCTTCCTCTGCTGTTTCTGGATTCTGCCTTCTGGAAGGAAGTCACAAAAATACAAAAACACATAACTAAGCATGTGTTTTGGAGCAAATGTTCATTACTGTGAAAGTTGATCCCTGAGAGAAAATTAAGTAAAAATAAATGAATTAACATATTTCAAATGGTACTCCTGTCTACTTTTTAAAGGCAAGGCACGTGTATTTCTATAGAGCCTTTCAACACAAGGCAATTCAAAGTGCTTTACAAAAATGAAAGACATTAAGAGCATTAAGAAAGATATTATAAAAGAATCACTGTAACCAAAAGCATTGAGCAATTACAAACACTATCCGTAAACAATGTGACAGCCACCTGCAGAAAACAGAAATAGAAAGTCCATGCAAAGCTTCATCCGTTCATCCTTTCCTAAACAAATACCACTTTTCAAAAGAAAATACATTAATAATAAGCCAGCGAAATGATTTTGCAGATTTTAAATGTGCGCAATGACTAAGTTACAGACACATAACTAGGTTGCTTTCCATCTATACATCATCATCATCATCATCATCAGCAGCAGCAGCAGACGACGACCCTGACAACGTCAACAAAAAGTTACATTTGCACCACTAAAATTCCAGCATGACTCCAACTCTCTTTCTGTTTCAGTACCGTTTTGGTGAAGCACGCCTTGAAGAGATGCATCCTGGGAGAATAGAGGCTGAAGTAGACAGAAGGAGGAGAGCAGAGAGTGGAGGCCATTGAAAGAATGGCAGAGATAGGGGCAGAAAGTATGAGAGAGAGAGATAGATGCAAGTTAAGAGAAACTTAAGAGGTGGAAAGAGAAAGACGCAGGAGAGAAGTCATGAAGGGAAGGGCAGAGACACGGAGAGAGAGAGAGGAAAGTAAGGACGTGGAAGATGAGACTGAGAGAAACATTTAGTCAGAGGAGAATGGAGGGAGAGGGAAAGACAGAGAAGAAGTTTTTCCAGAGGAGGAAAAGCTCCACTGAGCCACAGAGAAAAGATCCAACCTCTCTTCTCCGTTTCTCTCCCTCCCACTTTTTCCATCTCGCTCTGTTTCTCTCCCTCTCTCTCTCTCCGATGGGCTCCTTGTTCAATCCACCCTCTCCACGGCTCTTGCCAATCCCACTTCCTTTCTCCCTCCTCCTGTCCTACACTCCTTCCTCCTCACAAACTTCCATCTCTTTCTTCTCAGGCTTTACTTTCCTTCTCTTAGTCATTTCTGTTTTCAACCTCTTTTATTCTCCTGTTGATCCACTTTTAAGTTTAGCACAAAGTAAGCGAGCATATTTGACCAACAACTTCAGAACTTCAGACAGTAGTGGTGGAAGAACTTGGTTGTTACTTAACAAATACACAACTAACAGTTTATTTGATGTTATATTAAAAGTGAAGAAACTAGCTTTTATGCCATTATACCAGTTTTACAGATGCCTTATACAGATATTTACATTTCTCTTTTTGTCTGTAAACTCTTCCTAGTGTTTTCAGTTGACAATGATTCCTACAAATACAATCAGAGATTTCCATTCTGAGAGTTCATTAACCACTCTGCCTTTTATAAATAATATTAAACGTTAAAAAGTCGGATTACATTTAAGCAGACTTTCACCACACTCACTTTGTTGTTTTTGTGAACTGACCGTACAACGGCCTTCCATTGGTGCTGCATCAGGGAGAGTGGAATTATTTCCAGGCAGCGGTTGCACCTTAGTCCCTCTGCCATGTATCAAGTGACAGGAGAGTGTTTGAAACCTTGTCCTTCTACTGATGATTGATACTTTAAGCTTGCTCTCACTTGTTAATTTCCAGGAGGGTGCAAGGTCTGTAAAACTGTGTGGGATGTGGGGAGCATTGAGGTCTGCTTTGTGTATCCCTGCATTAAATCAGTCTTACCAAAGGTTGTAACAGGTAGGTGCAAAGAAGAACTGGTGCATTTATGGAATATAAAAAAAGAAATGATATCCAGAGATTTCCAAATAAAAAAAAAAATATATCAGCCATTCAGTCTGCCAGGTCTGTAAAGAGGAAACATCTCTCCATCCGTCATCACTCATCGCTGATTTTCTCTCTTTCACCTCTCCTACACCTGGCTCAAAAATGAAAACTGCAATTCAAGGCAAGAGTAACATCTGACCTGACTAAGGGGAAAAATATTTGTTTTGCAAAAGTAATGATTTGGCTCTTTTTGGGGATGCTTCAGTGTCTGGTGAGATAAATCAAGCACAGCAGCCAGCTTAAACATCTGTAAAGGACATTCTGGAGCTCATCTGGCAAAACAAAATATAAATTAGTTTACTAAAGTGGAAAAAGCCTCCCACAGGGTTGGACCCAACTAAATATTTATTTATGTAAAAATGATTACTTGGTGAGTGCAAAATATTATGATGACCCAGAAAGAGAGCGACCTGGTTGAGAACAATTGGAACTTTCCTTTAAGAGTCAATCTGTTTCTCAGGAATATACCAAAGGGAAAAACTGAAAACTGTGACTTGTATAAATACAATTACCATAACCATGAAGCTCTCCTCCTGCTCCAGCCACCGCTGGTCGTCCTCCATCTGCTGCTGCTGCATCATCAGCCTCTCCTCCATCATAGCATGGCCCACACATCCACCCTCCTGCAGGAAACATGGGTTCTTAAATGTTAACAGTTCCATTTTTTGGAATAATTTATTTAAATATTTAGACGAAGATTCAAGAGAAAAACTAGGATATACTACTGCTACATTTCATCAGAAGAAAATAACATGCATTCAATGAAAGTTGAGAATGAGGTTATTTCAGTTGTTTAGGTTTATTTATTTAATCAAATAAGTTCTTTAATGTGTTTTCTAACAAAGCTACATGCAGCTGGCAATAATGTGCTTAACAGACAGCACTTTCAGTGACTGATATGTGACAGGTAATACAATTGAATCAAAATCTGATCTCACCACTCAATGGTCAAATATAATATATGTGACTGAGAGGGCATACCTCCATGTTGGGGCTCCACAGTGCAGTGTGCTCAGGTCTGTGTTGACTCCAGGAGTCAGAGGGAGGGTAGCTGCCTCCGACACCCCCATGGGCGGATGGCTGCAGAGGAACAGAAAGAGTTTAAAACATAGTTAATAACGGTGGGAAGAATCTGCAGAGGGGAGAAAAAAAGAAGCAAAAACTCCTTTTACATATTTGATGACATAGGACCAGATTCTGAACAATTCTTAGTACGAGTTCATCATAATATTTCGAAAAATTGCAGTTCTGTTTTGTCAATGTTCAAATGTAAGACTAATTACATACAGCAGATTTGAGGGTGAACCCACATTTCCCAAAAACAAGAATACTAATCCCAAAATGTTCAGATGCTCTCAGTCTGGTGTTCAACACATGCTCCCAAAATGTACAGATGTTGGACGTGTGATATGATGAAGTCTGACATGCAGTTAAAATTATACACCCCTTATATGGACGACAGAGAGAGAGAGAGAGCGGCTTAGATTGTGTGTGTGTGTGTGTGTGTGTGTGTGTGTGTGTGTGTGTGTGTGTGTGTGTGTGTGTGTGTGTGTGTGTGTGTGTGTGTGTGTGTGTGCGTGTCTTGTAGCACAGGAAATGCCTGCTGTCGGCTCAGTTTATGAGGAGAGGAATAACTGCACTGAAAGTCTCACATTTCTCTTTCTGACTTTGACACATGCAGCTGGCTTTCCAACACAGTCTGTCCTCTGAGTTAACTCAGACTAAATACTGCGTTGGCCTTCATTGTGAAGATATTGCTCAACCAAAACATCGCTTAAGCCCAAATAAAAAGTTGATTTATAGAACCTGTTGAAAGATGGTCCAATGTTGAGTATGCAAATGTGTGGTATGTTTTGAAGATGTGTGACTGAGGCAAACAACATTCCTAGAGTTTTGACTTAATACTCCTTATTACGTTTTTGTTGTGTTGACTGCCACAATGCCCACCCTCTATCAGTGACATTTGAATGGTCTGAACACAAGATATAGGAATAAAATATTCAACAACAATCAGGAGGAATTGACAGTATATAATGAATGTTTGGAGTTCTCTTGCAACAGAACTACAACTGGGAAAATATGTACAGTTTAACTAAATTCAAATAGTTTTGATTCTACTACAAAATATAAGAAAGTCTTAAATGAAAGTTGAAGTCTCAGAAAATCATCGGTAAACTCTGAGATATTATTTCAGAAAAAAGGATGCTCAGCACAGCTTGCACTGCAAAGCAAGAAGCTATTCACAGAACACAAAACCAACACAAACATTTAAGGATCTTAAGTTAATGCTGATAGGATCAGCACATTTCACTTGGATAATATATTTGTATGGGCTGAGTTTACAGTCACTACTACTAACATATATATTTGTCCTGAACAAATATTTTGTTATCTATTCCTGCTACTGTATATCTTTTTTAAATGTCAGTTTTTTTCTGAATGGTATACAGTTTGTTTGTTTGTTTGTTTGTTCTTATAGCTTCCCGTAAGCCTGAATTCTTCCTCTCTCCCTGCACACTGCCACCTAAAACCTCCACAAATGTGAGAGGAAAACACCGCTGCAGCCACAGCGGTTTAGAGGGAACAGAAGAGCAGTTTTCCCTCTACAGGAACTGTGTTTTTGTGCATGTTTTCTGTTTTCTGTACCGAGAAGTGGTTAAGTTGGGGGCCGGAGAAGAAACCCTCACTGGAGCGAGGACTGGGGTATCCAGGTCTGCTGGGCTGCAGACAGAGAGATAACAGTTTGTGTTCATCAGACAAACAAAACACATCTACTGAAATACGAATAAGAAGACACAATCAGAGAGAAATAGAAAGAGATCATTCAGCCTTACCTTAGGCGGTGCTTCATCCGACCCGCCAGAGTCCCAGGACACGGTGATCTGTCTCCTCATCTCCATCCGAAGTCTCTCCTCTTGCTGCATCTTCTCCTCCTCCAGTATGGTGCTATAAAACAACACTTATCTTATTAAGTGGTCTACTTCTTGATATAAATAGGCAACACAGTCATTAGAAAATCTCTCACTACATGAAATCAATTCTTCAGGTTTTGGGAAAAATCATAAACCCTTTAAATTATTTTCTTCAACATCACCAAGGACACAAGACGATAGAGGTCAATGTGATTTTTTTTAATGGTAAATAGACAAAGTATCACAATTGTTTCTTTATGAACACAAATTACTGTAAAATGTTTTCATCAAACTAACAAAACTGTGGTTCTATCTGTAAATATAATACAATAACATTTTGGGATGCTGAAATGTACTGCCTATTTCTGATGGATTTGAATAAAAGCATAATACTTGGGAGAATTTAAAAGACAAAAACAGGCTAGGTATGCTGGACCATGCAGGTGGCTTACAGACTAATATATTAATACAGGTATAATGGCCTTTCAAGCATTTTACACAAATGATAACATACAAACACTCTAAAGCACACACTGACGAAGACGTGTAATTACTTGAGTTGTGTTTTGAGTTCGGTGAATCGCGGTCGCTTGCTGGGATCATACGACCAACATTTGGTCATCAAACTGTAGAAGGTGGGCGGGCACTGAGGAGGCATGGCCAACCGCTCGCCATTCTCTATCCTGCCAATCACGTCATTGTTCTTCACGCCCTGGAAAGGCTTGATGCCGTACATCAAAATTTCCCACATACACACACCTACAGAGAGACAGAGAATCAAACATTACAAACTCACATATGCTGTACTGTTACTTTACTGTTAAGCAACAGTAACTCACAAAATACACATATCAATGATCAGAACTCACCAAACATCCAGACGTCGCTTGCAGAGGTGAATCTTCTGAAGTTGATCGATTCAGGAGCCATCCATTTGATTGGAAGTTTACCTTTAGAAGCTGAGATAAATACATCAACTGATTTAAAAAAAATAGACAGCAGAATTATTGTTGTGTTACCTATAAAATACAAACCAATCATTACATTTATCATTTGGTTGCTGGTTGGAAGTTTACCTTTAGAAGCTGAGATAAAGACATAAACAGATTTCTTTTAAATAAATGGCAGAATTAATATTGTATTAGCTATATAATACAAACCACTCATTACATTTATAATTTGGTTGCTGGTTAATTTTGCAATCAATCAGAGGGTTAGAGACTAGATGACAGACGGCAATGTTGTCATAACAGTTGAGATAAACTGCAGTATCCTGATTTAACCTGTTGGTGGTGGTAAAGTACTGGAAACTAGAAAAGTGTGTCACATTCACAAAAGTTGAACTCTCACAGAGACAACAACATGTTCTTTAGGTCTGCACAGCTCAAACGAGTAGCATGATAAATAACATGTTTTAAAACAGGGGTGTCAAACTCAATCATTGCGGACCACATTCGCATTATGGTTGCACTCAAAGGGCCGGTTGTAACTTTAAGACTATATAAAAATACATATATAAATATTTAATATATATAAAATAATGTATTATATTACATTATTGCCTCTGCATTGGATTATTTTCGGATAGGGTAATAACTTCATAATTAACTACGTCTGAAAGCAGAAGTCTAGGGCAAATAATTGCAAGTCTCTTCAGTAAGAATGTCACAAAATGATTTAAAAAGAAAAGTCAAATTCCGAGAAAAAAGTCAAATTTCAGATGCATTGTGGGACATGTAGTTTATGGGCAACGTGCTTCTGTAAAGTAGCATGTAACCGTATAATAAACATATCATATTTTTTGCAAGCTCTTGTGGGGCCACATAAAATGAAGTCGCGGGCCGGATTTGGCCCCCGGGCCTTGAGTTTGACACCCCTGTTTTAAAACATTCTTCTGTAATACAACATATTATAAAGCTGTGTTTAAGTTACCTTTGTAGTAAGAGCTGTCCTCCATGTATCGCGAAAGGCCGAAGTCTCCGAGCATCACACAGTCCACTGAAGAGACCAACACGTTGCGAGCGGCGATGTCCCTGTAAGTCAGTATAGGCTGCTATTAGACCTGAAACATATGTGTCCTCTTCTAGATGCAACAATATCAATTTGCCACTCTATATTTTCTACCGAGTGCACTTGGGTTCTTTCTGTCATGTAAAAATGTAGGCAGCATACATGAAAAGCATACGACAAAAAAAAAAAAGTGTGTTCGTAACAAGCCACAAGAACTTATCCCACATTTTTATTTTAAGAAATCATAAAAAATAAAAACTATTGACACCGTCCTGGTTAATTATTTGTATTTTCTGTTTTGCTATTATAAGAATCCAGTAAATGCAATCATAAACTTAAAGCTATTCTTGACTTTATGTATGTTGTGCATGCGTGTGTTTGAGGTGTGTACCTGTGGACAAAGCGTTTGCTCTCCAGATATGCGAGCGCTGTGCTGAGCTGGAAGGCGAACAGAATGAGAGTGGCCAAATCCAAATTGTACTTTCTAACCTGTAGAAACGAACGTAACTGCAGACACAGAGAACGACGGACAGAAAAAAATCTTGGTGTTAAGATCAAGGAACTGTTTTATTTATAGAGGATAGCAGATATTACTTAGTCCATATGTGAGGACGTTATCTTTAGCCATACCTCTCCGAGAGTGCAGAGCTCCATGATGATCCACACAGGGTTTTCTGTGATCACTCCGATCAGCTTGACGATGTTAGGGTGGTCAAACTGACGCATTGTCACTACAAAGAAAACGCACACATTAACACACTCAGAATGTGATCAATGAATCATGGTTTGCTTGTGATTAAACAGCGTGGTCTTACATGCTTCTTGTAGGAACTTTTCTCTGACGCTGTCTGATGTGCAGTTCTTACAGGTCTTTATGGCGACAGCTAGATCTGGATGATCCTGCAGAACACACATTTCAAGTCACAAGTTAGCATACATGTATTATAAATTGAAAGTCACAATATCACAAACATTAAATATCATAGAAAGTGAACTAATGTTTAATACAATAAAAACATAGAAAACTCTTAACCCAGGTAAAAGAAAAAGTTGCTTACAATTAACTTGAAATGATTACGTTTGACAAAATGCGTAACTGAACAACAAGTAATGTGTTCTTTGTTACAGTGCAGACATAAGAAAACACTTTCTAAATGTAAAATGGCTTGTTATAGCTTTATAATTGAGTAACTACCAGCCGTTTATCCCCTTTACCTTACAACTTACTGCATCTATGCTTATTGCGCACCTTTTATTCGACCTACGTACAGTAAATCATGAGTGTGTGTGTGTACTTCCACGTACCGGGCTGTTATAGACTCCTTGGTGTACATCTCCAAACTGACCCTCTCCTATGCAGCGACCCAACTCTATCCTGTCCCTCTGGATCTCATAATCCCGCGCTGAGAGCGAGAGGAGAAGAGAGGAAAAGAGTTAAATGTATATATTTACTTAATTTTTTATACACTGGAAAGGCCCGTAACATTTGACATGCTTTACTCTGCCAACTTGGATGGGGTTTACCAGGACAGGACAATCTGACAGGACAATTTGGAACTTATCAGGTCATCGTTTGTAACCACAGAAAAGTAAGTTAAGGCCGTCAAATCCTTGTCATTGTAAACCAAATCCAATGGCAAACAGATTTGTAGAATATTAACAATATACAAAAATACATTTGACCCAGGATTTTATTCCCTTCGTACCTCTAAATAGACAAAGTTTGACATAACATGCACGCTAACACTCAACAATTACTAAGACACCATCATACAGTAAACACATTAACAGGCTAAATATAAAGTTCATAAAAACCGCTTTACATGCACACCGTTATCATTTCAGTTTCATTACTGGATATTAAAAGCCTTGAGTGGACTCTGCATGTAAACATCAAGAGCACATTTCTACCACAGTTTGCAAAGCTGAGACGTACGTCTGGATCTTTTGAGCTACTGATACAAACTGAGGAACATGATCTGAAGTGCATTAGATACGGTCTGCATCCTAGTAACCTTTTCATATTCACAAAGCATGTCCAAAAGGGGAAAAAAACGGTTTTGTTCCACCTGATATGCACATGCTTTGACATTTATGAGCTATCAGTGTTTCCGCCTTGTTGAAAAGGTCATGATGCATTTCTACAGAGGTGTGTTCAAATGGACTGAATATTGAGCTCAAGAGGTTTACACAGGACACTGACCCTCAGGAACTCATCCTCATCTGTGGGGCTAAACAAAGTCCGGCTATTTGACTCCACCAACAGATAAATAAAACAGCCAAACAAAACACATTCCATTATAAGAATGAAATGTGCTTCAACCCATAGTAAAGTTAATTTAAGGAAACCTAATACTTGATCAAACACAAAAGATAATAAATCCTGATAAAGAATAAAAATGAAATTAACCAAACATGATGGTGAAATTAGGAACCAAACCCAATAAACAACACGTGTGAGATGTTCAGCTCCAGAGGAGACTTCTTAATTAAACTATTTGTGAAGAAACATCTTGCATTGTTTATGGATTGGCCCTCCCTTTCATTTTCCTCACAAGATCCCTATGCACTCTCTTCCAAAACGGCCAAGATGATTCTCAATCTGGAATCTAGGTAACTAAAGTCTTTATAATTTTTTCTTTGCCATCGACTAATTAGTGAAAAAAGAAACTTGCAACGCTGGTTAACAAAAGAGCCCCACATTATCAAGTGTTTGTTAAATCATGTTAAATGACATGGGATTATTCGGTTTAAATGTCAAACTATCCTTGCTTGGTACAAAGTGCCCGGCCAAATAAAACTATGAAACTAAATGTTAAAAAGGCATTTTTGTTAGGACAGGATCCAGAGAGACAAGGAGTATTAGCTTCAACTACTCCATAGCTGGACTGGTGTGGCGATTGGAGAAAGAGGAAGAAAAAGAGATGAAGAGTGGAGAGAGAGCAGACGGCCCGCTTTAAGATTGAAAAAAGCTCAAAAGCACACACACACCACACACACACACACAACACACACACACACCACACAACCACACACCACACAACACACAGCACAAACACACACACACACCACACACACACACACACACACACACACACCCACACACCCACACCACACACCCACACACACACACACACACACACACACACACACACACACACACACACACTTGTGGTATTCCGCTCTTTACATGAGTTAGTGAATAAGTGAATTAAAGCTCGCTGCATAGTCATTCCTGTAATGCAGTTTCATATGACACATTAAGCAGACAGTATGACATGTACACATACGAACTCAGGCAGGAGTCTGAAAATAAGTCCGGAGAAAGTCTATTAAGAGGAAGTCGCAGAAAGACGTAGACCAAAAATAAGCAAAGCAAGCGACAAAGAAATAAAGCCAGAAAGATAGAAAAAGACTGTGGGAGGAAAGGAGAACACAGTCCATTTTCAAAAGTTGGCCACGCAATTAAATACATGAGTACTTTTAACCGGCCCAAGCATCCACAGTAAATGTATTGGAACAGAAGGCTAAAACCACTGCTACTTACAGAGCTACAGCCAAGGCTTTTTACTAACATTTGAATGAATTGGACAGATGCAGTTTTGAGTTATAGCCTCTCTGACCGGCAGCTGGTGTCTCTGCTGTTTGTTTTAAGACACTGAAACGGGCTTGAATTCGATACACCGCTACCTAAGTAAACGTGGTTTCATGCAACTTCTCTGATGTTCCCTGTCTGAGTGTGTTTCTTGGAACAGATTCACACCACACTCGGCGTATCAGATATCAGAACAAAATGGATGTTTATTTGAGAACGCATTTGACAGAAGAATAACAAAAAACTGTTAATACAGAGTTTGCTTGCTGCAGCGCAACAGAAGCTCATTGTCTTGAGTAGAAATGTCTTGTAGATGTTAGGCAAAAAAGAAGATTGAAAATATTACTTACTGGAGGGCATGGTGTATGTGTCTTCTTCATCAACTATCTCAGCATAGTCATCAGTCTCTGTAACGTGATACACATGAACCGTTAAAAGAGAATAATACAAGTCTGAAATGACACAAGTTCATACACAAGAACAATTGGAGAATCATGCACGTGTCGCGGAGTTTACCGTGCGTCCGCTATGGTGTGAAGGGTGACCGATACACACACAAACACATGTGCAGTGAAAAAAAAAAAGAAAGCACAATAAAACTAAAAGCATGAAGCAAACTCAGGGTTTCGGCAACTCCTGCGCAAAGCAGCACTCACGTAGCTTCTCTTTCTCTCTCTGCACACATACACTTGGCGGTGTGTGTCAGCTGAGCATGTGTTGTGCATATCTGTCTGTGTGAGAGCAGCTGGGGAGTCACAGTGGTGGTGGAGGAGTGAAGGGAAATAAAAACAGAAGAGCTGAGACAGATAGTAGAGAGATACGTGGAAAATATAGATAAAACAGAAAAGAGAAACCAGGAGAAATAATACTAGAGAGAGTGAGAGAGAGAAATAGTAGCTGTCATGTAAGCAGATGGTAACGTTTAGGATCGAATCTGTGCAGAATCCGACAGATAGACAGAGAGAGAGAAAGGGGGAGAGTTGAGAGCCAGCGGGAAAAAGAGAGGGAAAGATGGACTGAGTGTATGCTAACCAGATGGTGGTGTTTAAAATAAAATCAGTGTGCAGACTCAGCTGTTGGAAACACATCTGTCGTCCTGAACGCTACCTACCCTCACAGCTCGGCTCAGGATTTATCAGGCTCTCGGGAAACATCTCCATACATTTATTAAAAATCCCTTTGTAAAGCTTGTGGCTGATTTGATCAAAGTTATAAGCCATTTCGAGTATGTTAAAGTTGTTAATGTAAGAATGGTTAAATAACACACTTCTTAGATGAGAAGTGTGAATATGGAGCTACAGCTTAGCATTAGGACTGGAAGCAGACGGAAGAAGCTAACATGACTCTTTCCAAAAGTTAAAACAAGTGTCAAACTATTTATTTCAGAATACAATTAATGACGTTGTATGCTTTGAGTGCAACTTTCCCTTCTGATTCCTTTACCAGTAGTATATCCCCTTGGCATGACTGTTGCTAAACTACGGAAGAGGATTACGGCCACATGATTTATTTTTTTGGGAGGATTTGAAAAAAAAAGAAATTCTGAGAAAACAATGTGTAGATTTGATAACTTTGAAAAAAGTCAGAATTCTGAGATTAAAGTCAGAATTCTGAGATTCTTTTTTCTCAGGACACAAAAAAAACGTTTTTTTTTTTTTAAATCCTCCCAAAGATTTTTTTTAATGTGGCCCTAATCCTCTTCCGTACTGAACTGTTGCTGCGCATGATTTATATCTAAATATATCTTCCTATGAGCTGAAATAAAAGCAACAGCTATGCAGACTGTAGCTGTTACTAAAATGTGTTTTACTAGATTAAATAACCATGGACAGAAAAAGTTGATATCATCAGTCATGGTTTATTAACTAAAGCAAATAACAGACAAAAACATTAGACTTTTTTTTCCCATCCAGCAATGAGTTTATGTGTGTTGTTTTTACTTTTCTAATGTATGTATTTAAATCTGAAGATGACTTCAACGGTTTCAGTTTTATATATATTATATATTTTTAACACATTTTTCTTAGTTTGTTCTATGAGGTCTATTGTTTGAAATGCTTCATATCAATATTACGTTGAAATGGTCTCGTTCTGCTTTCAGAGAAGGGATAGTGTGTGTGTGTGTGTGTGTGTGTGTGTGTGTGTGTGTGTGTGTGTGTGTGTGTGTGTGTGTGTGTGTGTGTGACAGAGATCTAGTTAGCCCATCATAGCCAGGAATGCATTTGACTTGAATCCAGCAAACCTCTCCCTATTCCCCTCTGCAAGTGTGTGTGCGTGTGCGTGTGCATGTGTGTGTGTGTGTGTGTGTGTGTGTGTGTGTGTGTGTGTGTGTGTGTGTGTGTGTGTGTGTGTGTGTGCGTGCGTGTGCGCGTGTGTGTAAAGAGAGAATAAGGTTTGTAGAAGTTCCCTAAAAAGAGAAATACCACTTAATTTCCAAATTCTGCATTTTTGTTACAATCTGGTTGAAAGCAGACATATTTCAAATTCTGTGGTAATCCACTTTCAAAAATAATCCTAAATAGAGTCTGACACAGACTACTTAAAATCACATTACTTTAACAGTAAACCACTATAGCTACTAAACAGATCAAACTCAATAAAGCTTCCGTTTTGTTCCTGTTTCCAGTAACACAACCATTTCTAAGCACTCTATAACACAGCACATGCATAGCGCCGTTGTTAAAGATGTAGGAATGCATGCATAAACATCAACCCACACACCAACACACACACGCTAACCGCTCCCAGGAGGCTGCAGTGTGTTGGTGGAGTGAGGACTAAAAGGAACATAGAGATGAATAAACAATGGGAAAACTTTACCATCCCCGCTAAGATCTTCTGCAGGGTCCAGGAGAGCATGCAGGAAACGGGACAGCAGAGGAGGAGGAGAATAGAGAGAAAGCAGCGAGAAGAGAGAGAGAAAGAAAGCAGGAGGCAAAGTGGAGAAAAGAGGGAGAGAAATAGAGCGGTTAGAGCATGAAAAGCCTTGAAACAACAAGATGTTGCAAGATCTGCAAAGCCAAACACTCAGCGAGCAGTTAGCTAAGTATCAAAAAAGCAGAGTTAACAAATGTCATTAATGCTGTACAAACACACGGAGGTGAAATGAAGTCATTCAAGATATGGAAGCAATCAGAAAAAGAAAGCGTGAGTCAGCATTTGTTTATATGTGATATCCAGTGGTGTAATGTAAAAAGAGTTCGATCCTCAACACTCATTGTTTGATCAAGAGTTCTCACACATCTGTTTTAAGCTTTCATGTCCTTGCGTTGGAACTGCACAGCCGAATCCTCCCTAGTTCTTAAAAGCCAAGAGTTGGGCATTTTAGGTCAACAGTCATTTGTGTTCTTCTAAGAGTTAGAGGAGGAGGTTTCATTTCTCTACAGATGCAGTAAACACACAACCTCAGCTGGTCAGCTTAGCTTAGCAAACAGGGCCTTGCTCTAGTTTCAAATTGACTAAGACAGCGTGGTGTTTTCCTTCTCATCTATCTCTTAGCAAGTACTCAAAAAAAAGAGAAAAGGGATTTTGTGAAATATTTGCAGTGGCTACGATATTTCATTTTTATTTGTTTCTCTTCCCAATAATCTGAAGGCTATTCATGAACATTGTCCGCTTGTAATAATGCTTTCCATCCAAATGTCGTTGTTGTTCTTATTGTTGTACGTGTGCAGTACTTTAGCCTCTTATTTGAATCCTGTGAAGCACTTTATTAACTTTATGTTTTAAATATTGCTCTAAATCTATTATCAGAGCTCAATGGACTTACAGAAACTTCCCACTAACATGTTGAACCCTAAAGAAGGATATGAACCGTGCCTGCATGTCACTTTTGGAGCCTCTGGCAGAAAGGAAGCTTGGATCACTTGTAAAAGTCTCAATAAGAAAGCAGCTGCTGTCCAGATTCATGACTCTCTCTGAACAGTGCTGCTAGCTGCCGAGCCAAAGCCATAGATGGAGGCACAAGGACATGAACTCACACATTTAACTTGGTGCACGAGGCATTACAGATGATGGAGATAACGATGTTAGAGTCACAACATTTAAGTGCTTACTTAAACATAATTCATTTATAGACTTTTTCCAAACTACACAATTTCATCACTTAGCCGGTGCTGAAAGGGTGATCGAAGACATTTTAACAGGGCAGATACTTGGCGGTTGAACCCAAATGTTCTAAATGGAAGAATGATTACTTTAACCATATGGTCCGCTCTTTGAATTAACTGACATAAAACACTTGAAATAATGAATAAGAATAACCAAAGTGGAACAACAGAGCATGTGGTGAAGACACCATTTCACTCTGTGTGTGAGTACTTTCAGTCACATCCCTTCATTGTATGAAAGTTAGATTTTACAAAGACGGAAATACAAATTGTCTATCTTTAGTATACCTGTTCTCAAATGTGAGAGGTAAAACATACAAACTGGTGACTGATGGTAAGGAAAACACACAAGCCATTGGATTTAAAGAGAGTTAGAAAGTCCTCCACAATTAAGAGGTTATTTTTTTTTATACCCACTCTTATTTTAAGAGCATTGGCTTGGTTAGCAGCACACAGGCGGTTATTTTGGTTGAAGCGTGCGTGCGTGCGTGCGTGCGTGCGTGCGTGCGTACTTGGGACTGAATTAGTCAAAGCAACCAGGCACTGAGGACAGTAGTTAAGAAGAAGAGGGCATCCATTATAAAGTAAATAGATTGTGATGCAGCCAATAACAGTTCTGGACCAAATGAGTGCCGTTAACTTATCCAGGAATAAAACTTTAAACAACACATATTGAATTGCATCCACTGGGATATTTTTGTTCAGATGATATTAATAGGTTTCTTCTAGCATTGCCCAATAAGTATGATATCAAATGAGGTATTCTATTTCAGCACATCACAATTGTGTGGACACCCTCCTCCACTAACTGTCCAATGAGAGCCGAGGATACCATTGGGCGGCGAATCGGAACAGAAGACAAAGGGAAGGAGGAAACGCCGCGCCTTGGTTGGCTTAGGAAGCGTTGATGTCACTAGGTCTGTAGCCAATCAGGCAGGACAGAAGACAAGAGTGTGAAGGGAAAAAAAGAAAAGAGTGAATGGATGTGTGGCAGACCGGAGGAGGAGAGGAGGAAGTAAACAAAAGGAAAGCAGGAACAGAGAGGAGGAGGGAGATAAACAGGGGGAGAGGCAGTCCCGACGGAGAAGAAAACAATAAGAGAGGAGTAAGAGAGAAAACAGATGTTGGAGGAAATGACAAGACAGAAAAGACGACAGTAGTTGGAGCCAAGGAAGCTGTCAGACTTTTCTCCTAAACCTGTCGATTTGGCAGTGTGTGTGCACATTGTTTTTATCTTACCTGACACAGAGATAGCTCTTACTCCGCTCCTGACTGCTTCCAACTTTTTCTCATTATTTGATACTCTATAAAAAGAAGAAGAAACAAATTAGACAATAATTAAACATCAGTCAAAACAGTAAACACTTGAAGAAACATACCGAGGGTAAATTGAAGCTTGTTATTTTGATAGTTGTATCCTTGAAAGTAGTAGCATGTTGAAATTGGGTCTTTCAACCAACCCTGACTGTTTCAATAATCTCCCTGCCTCCTCTATCTGCGTCTGTATTTGAGCTCTACTACGATCTTTACATCACAGACCACAAGAGGCAGGGAGAGAAAGAGAGAGGGAGAGAAGGAGAGAAAGAGGAGGAGACTACCCAAGTGTTTAAAAACCCTAAGTGGAAAATATTTGGCTCCTAAACTTATCTCCTTATTTGACCACAGACAGAGAGAGAGAGGAGAAGAAGGAGAGGGAGATTTGAGTTGAAATGACTAAAAGTAAGCAAAAACGTTGTGTTTAGTTTAGTGACAGTTAAAATGTTAATGTCCGGTTATGGTCCTGATTAAACAAACACAATGAACCACTAAATCTTTGTTTAGCTAATGAAGAAAATAGGCATCACAGCTCTAAATCATCAGACCTGAGATAAATGTGTGATGTTTCTTTAATGTAAACTCTAACAGTACTACGAGTGAGCAAGGTACCTACTTTGGGATGGAAGGCAGTGCTCTCTCTCCCTCTAGAGGACAAAAACACACATCATCAGGATCAAAATGAGAAATTAAATCACACAAAATAAAGATTACAGAAACGTTTTAACTACCCTTCATACAAAATGCATTAAACAGCATTAAAAAGGAGACAAACTTCTTGAAACTAAAAAGTGGGAATTCAGTGGCAATATCTACTTGGATGGATTTTTTCTTCTCCACTAGGACGTTATGTTTTCGGTTTGTGTAACCCTTGCCAAAGAGCCAAGGAANGTTCTGCATGGTTTCACGAAAACGCACTACTATGCACAGTGACATTCGGCGAGCGCGCGAATGTTCCCACTTGTGAGTCATAATCTTTAACGTTAACTATTAATGTAGTCACATAGGAAGAGGAGAGAATCGCGATTTCACGGTCGGACTGCCCCGTAGTCGGCGGGCGCGACCATGCGTCAGGCCTCTCCCGTCGTGCCGCAAGAGGAGAACAACTCCGACGACGTCCTGGAACCTCTTGGTCGCGACTGGGTGCGACCCCTGGTGACCGAGAGCTCGTTGGTTCCAGTTTGTTCGAGTGGGCGGAGCAAGGCGACTGGACCGTCCAGTGAAGATTGTATTCAGACACGATAAAGGTCACACCGTGTCGCATTATTTTATTAATTACATCGATAACCACTAGTCGTAGACAAACCACATGGAATCTCCAGACTTATGTCTGTGGATTTATACGGAATTAGAAAATCTCGACAGCCATGACTTTAATACTAGGAGACATACTTACAGTCCACTGGTCTCAACTCAGCCTGTCACTCGTGAACGAAGGAAGCAGAACAACGACCAAGACGAGACCTGGGTCGAACCCAAGACCGCTGAGTCGAGGCAGGACCGGAGGTCCCTCGACCTCTGGACAATCGTCTGTCAAATGCGAAAGACGAATCAAACCATATATGTGTTCGTAGCGGTCGACATGTGTTCTGATTTGTTATCCCATGGATCATAAGTAATTGTGTACCCGGACCAAGCGTTGGAATAGAGCACCAGCCAATAAGACTGTCCTCAAGAAGGTTCTCCACCTACGGTTCAGCAGAACGCGAAGAGACACGACTCTGTCGTTGGCGAGACGCTAACCTTCTCCAGCTGTGCGACAGAGTCCTGCTACGTGCCGTTTTAGCTTGAGTCACCCGACTCGGACGACTAGAGCGAATAGGGTCAATCATGTTACTCTCGATGTTGGTCCAGACCTCTTGGCGTCGGCAATGAATTTACCAACTACTAACAGCGTGTTGAACGAAGGTTCCCAAAACAGGATCGTCCCTCCTGTTGAAAAATTGGGAGACGAAAGCAGGAATCAACGTCTACCTCTTCGACCGTAGTAGGCCGTAACGCTAGTGCTCGACTACTCGACCTAGAGAGAGTACCCTCCGCGAGTATGTCCTCCTGGTTCCTTGTCTTATTACCGCGACATCCCGAGTCTTCACCCAGTCTGAAACGTCTCCACACGCCATCTTATTTCAAAAAAAGAGAAAATGGGGTTTTCCGCGAGGGGGCGTGTGCAACATGGAGAGTCAGTTCGACGGTTTCTTAGAAGGATAATATTCAGTTCCCTTTTTTGACACTAACAGTGGACATATGAAGCGTTTTTCAGACCCTGGTGAAGACTCGGATGCGAGCGGGGAATATGTGTCCCCGGTGTTCCAGGGAACCCACCAAGTGTCAGAAAACACAACCCTCTCTATTTTCCTCCATACCCAAATCTCTTAAAAAGGGGCTGCAACGGATCTGATACAGACTGATCCAGATTTGGACACTTCTATGACGTCACAGAAGTGGCGTTACGGCTATTGGGCCAACTCCACCAATCAGGAGGAGACAGCCACGGACATACCGTTCGAAAGCGCTGGATACGCTGTAGTACATATGCCAGGCCTGTAGATGGTGCTGTTCTCACAGAATCAGCCCGTGCAAAGACAGTGTTAAATTGAGCGAAATGAGGAATGGCTAAAATGCATGATCTGTTTGGTATTTTGAAAAATAAAAAGTATAAATATGCCTTATATAGGTATGGTCCTACACTAGATTATTCAAATATAGCATGATAGGTCCACTTTAAGGTGACGAATTACGCGGTCTATATGCTTTGCGATTTCCCTTCCAATTGTGTTATATTCAAGAGCACAAAAACATGATAACACTCTGTGGGCACAGGGTTGTGTTTTGATATTTGTGCATCCTAAAGAGGCGGGATGAAAAGGAGTCATGTTAATTGTTATACCTTTCTGATATCGAACGATGAAAGAGTGAGTTTCCATGGTGATGAGTCGACAGTAACCGTCAATCAGGTCAGCCAAGTTCTCTGCCATGGTCAGTGATGCTGTCGTAATCGTGAGAGGCTGCACACACACGCACACACGCCTGTTACAAAGAGCCATTATCTCCAAAGACACACACATATTCTTTCTTACACATGACAGCACAGGGGGGGGGGGGTTCCAGCTGCTCCTTACGTCAGGGGAAGACTCCTCTCTCACAATATTTGTGGTGTACTTGTGTGTGAGTAAATCCAATACTAAAAGCCATTAAAAAAAGAAAGACTGCACTCATATATCTGCGCGTGTTACCAGGCCGTTCCTCTGTGAGTAGAACCATTATGTGGGATCTATACATGGAGGAGCATTACTTAATGTCTGTCTCCATCTCAGCCACTCACTTGCAAACAAAGGGCAAAGTAAGCAAGCTAAGCAGCACGATGGGCACAGCTTAGGGTAAACCTTTAGTGTCCAACAGAGGCCAAACTGGTCATCATGAAAAACAAATACTAATAGTACTTCCTTTAGAGAGTGAGAAACTAATTTATTTTCCTTGAATTAGCTTCACATATATCTCTAAAAGTATCTAAGATTGAACACTCTTTTTTATATTTTGCACAATAGCCCAAAGCATTGTTTTCCCTGCACCAACAACAACACTTCCAATTTGTTTGTACTTAAAACTTCTCACAAGATACTTTTCTATGTCTTTTAAAGTCCTTTTGAAATGATTTCTCTACCTGAATTTGAGGTAGATTGAGAAAAGGTGTGTAAATCATAAAGGTAGATTACCGAAAAGGAGCAGCGATGAGTATTGTCTTGTTTTTAATCATAGCGATAAACCAGTAAAAGTCACCATTTTGAGTTGCTTCATATGATGATATTATTAATGGTATTTTTTAAAACCAATTGTACATGTATATCAAATGTGTATGCCTAGACAAAGAGACAAAGATTGTAGTACCTCAGCAGCTCCGGCTACGTTGAGCTGTAGCATCCCTTTCCTGTCCTTCTCCTCCATAGCCGAGTACTGGATGGACTGAACTTGATTGAAGTTAGCTAGGTGGGTGGGCTAGGGACAGACGGAGGAACACAAAACAATTGGAAATATCGATATTTATTAACACTCAATATAAGAAGATACATTTATTATATATTGTTTTTTAGATGCAGTACAAGTGTTGAAGCTATTAAAGCCCCCTTATCTTTTTTAGGTTTCAGACATACAGTAAAATATATCTCTCAGTCTCATTTTCAGTTTTTCCAGCTGTATCAATACAATTCTGAATAGGTTTCAAGTATTAGACAACCAGTAACAGAGTACCACTCCAGGGCTAAACATTTTTTTAAATGTAATAAAAATGGCCTACCTTAGAAAATAAGAAAAATAAATAACAAATAATAGTAAATAAACAAAAATAATAATGATGGAAAGAGAATACAAGTGACATACAAGAGTGTTCAAAAGTATTAATGTATTAGCAGATACATTACAGGGGCCCATCGCTTGATACATGTATTTTTCTGTAGGCGTATTAAAGCTCCTTTTTAAGCTTGGCTGTGTAGGAACTCACCGTGGATCCCTTGTCAGTGAGGTAGCTGATTCCTTCCTCTGGCCCGATAGCCAGCTCCACCTGGATCACCCAGCTGGACTGTGGGAGAGAGGAGGAGGGGTACACGTTACGAGAGGAAGAGAGCAGAAGGCAAGGCAGGAGTGAGAGGAAGGACGTTGGCACAGCACCACATCTCAGATACATGCAGAACCTGATCCCGCCAAAAGAGGTCAGCCTTACACCACTAACCAGAGCCTTTAGGTTACATCAACACACCTTGGAATAGATTAAACTTACCCCAAGCGCACATTTGAAGCACTCCTTGTCGTAGCGATAGATTGGAGCAAGTATCTCCAGAAACTTGAGGATGCACTGCTCATCGTTGAGATTGGCTACCTGCTTGAACGTCTGCTGAATCAATTTACGCAGGGTTTTAGCCTGGGGAGAGGAGATAATTGGAAAGGGAGAACATTTCAGTTAGATACTGACTTTAATTAAAACTGATTTAAACGATAGAAAATCTGCAACTAGGAGAAGAAAGAGGAGTATGCATGAGAACAAATGTGGTGAATTTGTGTGTGTGTGTGTGCAGAGGGACAGAGACACTAACAGAGGAAAACATTGATTGACTAATAGTCCACTCTGGTCCCGATCAAAATGACCTCCCCACTTCACCGTTCAGATCAATACACAACGAACTGTTGGTTACCACTCAATTAAACATCACAATCTGCCCATGTGTGTACTGTTGCTTAGATATCACTTCATGTAAGTGCATATGAAGACTCTTAGTGTGACAGTTGGTTTATTCAGACATGATTTTTTGTGTTGGTTATGTGACTAGAGTGGACAGATGGGGAATCGAGGGAAATAAAATCCATCTCGGGACATTATTCATCATTCCCTAGACATAGAGGTGCACAGCACACACAAACGTCAATCCTCTTCATCTGATATATATATAAAAACACTGTGACTTATATGAAGATGAATTTACCCCAAAAAAATCTTTAACCCGGTTTAACCCAACAGGATATTGAGCTTCACTACATCAAATCATTAGTGTTAAAAAAAATTATGATTATAAATGATGTTATCCAAACACCCTTGAAAATACACATTGACACAGGCACACATACAGTACAGACAAACTATGAATAGCTCTCCATGTATAGATAAAGATAAAGATTAAAGGGGATTTACTGCACTACAAACCAGGCTTAAAAAAGCACGAGTGGATTTACAGTAGACTGCTTCATCAAATTAAGGTCAAGCTACACAAAATAAATGAACAGTTTGGCAATTAAGATCCCAACCAGAAAGGTATTAACTGTATTGACTTTTAGATGTGACCTAAACACAAGCAATAGACTGATGACAGGTGAGTTTAATGAGACCCAAAAACAACATCATCAATAGACCTAGAGCGTGAATAGTCTCTCCATATGCATTGAACCTAACCTATCTGAGGGTGGTATCATTCATTACAAAAAATGAAGTGTTTATTAATATGAATTAACCATTTTATTGAGCCACTATGATTTACAATTGCTACTATATTTTTGTATTATTCCGATGTAAAAAAAGCCTTTCTACACTTCATTTCAGAATGACTGTTGCCAGCTGTCTACTTATTAAGCCTGAAGGAATCAAGAAGCCTTAACACACACACAGACACACACAAACACACATTACTTTGTGTGCAGCCACATGTGTGTGTGTGTGTCATTTCAGCAGATGTCACTACACAGAAATGATTACAGAATATATTGTGTATTCGCTTATATGTGTTCTTGATAGGATCAGAGTTTTTTCATTCCTCAAATTCCACCACACGCTCGTACACATACACACAGAGATATTGTCTTTCCTGTATCCTCCCTTCCTGAGAGGAAATACTGCGAGGTGCTTTCATCCTCATCATCATGCTGACTGTCACCGTAGTCTCTCTGCTTAACGGTCACACACAGTTTATATATAACATTATTTTTATTAATCAGTTTAGTGACAGAAGGAAGGACAACATGTCTTGGCGTATTATGTCTCCGTGTTTCCTCAGATGTGATTCGTCCACTAGTGGCTGGAGGTCATATAGTGTTTTGATTCAATGTGAGGTTATGTCACAGTGGCTTAAGCTGTTGAAAGCTATTCTTTCCCTTCAAAATTGTTATATATTTCATCAAGAGAAGAGAACATCCTTCAGACACTCTGATAACAGAGTAATGGGAGGAGTTATAAGCATTATTCAGTCAGGAATACTGTCAGCGACCAGTTTCAGCCAGACCAGGCCTTCATCATGGCAGAAAAAGCTTTTTTAAATCAACTTAAACGTCATGTCAATAACCTGCTTAAAAAACTGAGGGTTAGGCTAGGTTTCTTCTACAGGAACAAGTCCTGTTTCTCGCTTGAAGCCAGGAAAAAGGCTAGTCACTGTGACCTTTTTACCTGTGCTGGACTATGGTGATTTGATGTATATGAATGCACCTGCCAATTGCCTGGTCAAGTTAGATGCTGCGTATCACAGTGCACTGAGATTTGTGACAAACTGTAAAGCATTAACCCATCACTGTTCCCTGTATGCAAGGGCTGGTTTGCCTTCACTAACTGTACGGAGGCTCAGTCACTGGTACATTTTTATATACAAAGCCATGTTAGGGAAACTTCCATCCTACATCTGCTCCCTGATGCTCACGGCGAATTGTAAGTGGCTACTGCCTGAGATCGCGTGCTGTGTTTTTATTAAATGTGCCAACTGCTAGGACTGTCTTAGGGAAGATAACATTTAGATGCGCAGCTCCACTGTCTTGGAATAGTCTGCAATTGAAATGGAAACTGAGCAATCTGGTGCCACTAAATGTTTGTAAAGCTCGGTTGGATGCTACTCAATCGGAAGCTGTGGGTACCTGTTCATGTGGATAGTTATGTAAATTGTAAATCCCTGTAATGATGCTGTAAGATGTTCTTTTTGTTGTTCTGTTTATGTTTTTATGTTTCATGTGGAACCTACTTGAGCAGGTCTCCCTTGAAAAAGAGATCAATGATCTCAATGGGATACACCTGGATAAATAAAGGTTTGAAATGAAATGAAAGTGATGTTTCATTCTGTATTGTGTCCTGACAGTAATAGTTGTATGTTTTAGTTGCAAATATGTATTCAAATAAAGCATAAGAATATATATCATTGCATTTCAATCAAATCATGTTGTGATCATTCATAAGGTTGAGAGCAATTCAGTCATCAGTCTGATGATGGGGAAAACTCAAATCAAGCTGGTTGATGAAACTCTGATCTCCAAACACACTAAAGGTCAGTTTTACTAAACCTGCTGCCAGCCTGTCGATATGAATGAACAGACTCTGCTCTTTATAAAGCTTTCAACACAGCAAAAAATCACTCACTCTTTACTACCACAGCCATCTGCTCCGGGGTTTATGTGTGTGTGTGGAAGTAGAGTCCATTGAGGGTGAATAATCCCATTAAATGACTACCATTCTCTTTCACCAGAGCGAAAGGCAGAAACATAACTGACAGCTGTGCTCTCCAGCAGACGCACATCCATGTTAAATGAAAGAACCTAATACCTCTACTAGTTTAGTTTGCCTTAGAATACTGGAGATGGACTCCGGGGGAATGTTTGTTGTTATTACTGCCAAAATAGTAGAAAAATGAGAAAATAGGAGAGGAGGGAGAGTAGGTGATGAGGGGGGAGTGAGAGGGTCTTGACAGACGGGGGGACCCCAGAAGGAGACGCACATTGACGCCTCCTCCTCCCTCCTCATTGTTGCAAAGGGAAAGTGGGTTTAAACATGACCTTAGGGTCACACACACAAACACAGTTTCCCTCCCTCAGCAGAGCATCTGTCCGCCCGCCTGCTGACATTAAGACCTTTTCAGGTCACTGGGGCCTTTCTTTCACACAGACACACACCAAAACCCTCCACAGAAACGCGTGCCGTAAATATATCACTGACAGAGAGACTGCATTGTGCAAGCACACCAAGCCATCACTGCAAACATACACAACACAATGGCAGAGCTTTCTACATGTGTGTTCATCTCACAACAAAACGTATATCCAGGGTCCCGCGGGGTGTGGATGTATTGCTAAAACAAATTCAAACCTGAGCTGTTTCCCTTTGTGCTAAGCTAAGTAAACCATCTTCTGGCAGCAGCGTTATAGTTACTGGACAGAAATAAGAGTGTTTTTCGATTTTACTCTCAGCAATAAAACCAATAAGGGTATCTCTTAAAAAGCACTTTAATGGTGAGATTTGCAGAACAGAGATCAGTCCCTGGTGAAAAGTGAATCCATCACAAAAGTCTTTGTACAGAATATAAGTACACTTTCTGGTTCGTATTCATTCTTTTTTGTCTCCATTCACCAAAACTGTGATGGCAAGTCTCATTCAAATATTGTTGAGTCTTGGCCTACTTAACATTTTGCCAGCCAGTCCAGGTCCAGCAACACATTCAGTCAAACATTCAGAAAATTGGCTCAAAAGAGCAGTCAAATAAAAGTGTTGCTGGATATAAACCACACGCTTTGGTTACCGTTAGTAACTCCAGTGGATCAGATGTGGCAGCTGCTCAATTTTGGGAGTGCACAACTTCCTTAAACTACATCTCCATCAAGAACAGCCTTATTGAACCATTTATTCCACAAACAATTCACAGGGAGAAAGTGAATACAATGTTTTAGCAACCTGAGACATTACATTGTGTGTACTATTGTGTGATCTCTATACCAAGTCTTTGTTCTCACCTTGACTGAATCCAGCAGGTCTTTTGGGAAAAATCGCCTCAAGCCAACATCTTTCCTGGAAGGAGAGACAGAGAGAGATACGAGAGGAAGAGAGCAGAATGATTACGCTGTAATTACACTGAGGAATGTTAATTGGCAACCACTTCTTTCTTTATCTGATCTCAAAAGCTTATGTTTTGCTTTGATTACAAACAACATCAACAGACAGATAGAGTCAGGCAAGACCAGTCGACTGAAGACAAGAAACAGAAAGCTGTGACTAAGTGCTGACTAAAAAAGCACTACTCATTTTTTCCTGAGAGACTGGGGGAAAGCAGAGAGAACAGAAAGAGAGAGATAGAGAGAGGCCGTACAAAGAGAGGGAGACCACAGAGACAAAGAAAGATGTGCGAAGCTAAAACAGGAAGCTGGCTAATGATTCAAACTCCTCTAGAGAGAAGACAAGGGGGAGGAGGAGAGAGTAGGGGAAAGGGTGAGAGCTTACATCATCTTATTTCTCCCACATAGGTCAAATGTCATTCAATTATCATCACAGTACTATAACAATGTGTGGTGTACGACAGTTAGAGAGAAGGTCAGCTGGTGTACAGTAGGTAGTAAATCACAGATAAGACTCTGCCCTGTGGTTACAGTATATATAAACTACCAGGCTTGCCTCAGCTTGAAATATTCCAATAGTAGTATTCTGCTTAGGGCTAAACCGCATCATGTCTATAAGAGAATACTTAGAAAACCGTTTTGGGGGAGACACAAACATGTTTTACCCTCTCAAAATGTCAGTCATAGAAGCAACACGAAGCACAAACAGAAAAGAAAAGACCTTTGAGAGATGACAACAGCTAACCTCAAAGAACGAGCACTAATGAAAGCCCCCTTAAAAAGTCAGCTCAGAGACCACAAGGACTACAGCCAACTACACCCAGCCGATGCAAATCTGTTGAGACTCATTATAAACTTGGAAAATAAACTAAAAATACGGGGGCATTCAATTCATCATCATGTCTGAGACGTTTCCTGTAATTGCTCAAAAGTAGAGGGAACATAGACACAGTGTTTAATTTGCAGTGTTTCAATCCAGTTACTTCATTCCAATTAACTGCTAGCAGAAACTGCTGAGTGAACATGCAGAAACTCTTCACAGTAAACCTCTTGTAACTGACATCGGAATTTCTCAGAAATTGTACACCCCTATAAAATACAATTTTAATGATGGTACGTTGCTATTTAAAGAACAAAAAGAAACGTCAAAGATGGAAAAAGTGGAGGATTTAAAAGGGTGAAACGAAGACACTGTTTTAGGATGGTGTTAGACCGCAGACACTCAACAAAAGCCTCAATGGCAAACTCTTAGCTTGTAGTATTCAAAGCCTCAACAGCATTTTCCCCTCGCACTTTTGTTGGCTTAAAATATGCATGATGGCAACCATCAAAAGGGAGAGACAGAGTTACAGAAGAGAGAAAGAACACAGGATAAAGCAGACTAAAAAGAGGAAGAGAACATAGAGAAGAAGGACAGACAGAAAGAGGGCTGAGAGGACGGAGAAGAGAGACAAAGAGATATCACAGGAAAGACAGAGAGCATTCTTCTCAGTTGATTGAAGAGCTCGTTAGGCTGACGGACAGAAATAAAGACCTCATTGGAGCAGGGCAGCTCATTAGAATCGGACCAGTAAGAGTCGAGCCTTGTTAGTGCCAAAGTTTGTTAATTGTCTTCATCAACATCCATCTACCCGGGAGCTGATGGTGGATTAAGACACAGAGCAAACCAGGGGGCTAACATAGAAAAAACATCCGAATCCAAGTAAATCTACAGATATGAATGAATATTTACCACGTGATAAATTGACTGGATAAACAGTGTTTGAATAATAATGGTAGCTAGACTGTACATTTTCAGTCTTTACAGAAGTTTGCACAATTCCCAAACGCCTACTGAAGTTCTTTGTATTGTTTTCTGCAGTCCACAGGTTATCAGTAGCTGCGTAGGAACCCTGAACCGAACACTGAGAAACTCTTGTTTTTCTGTTATTTCTGATGGATTACAAAACATGTTTCCATGTAGAGGAAGGATGTGATGTACGAGAAAGGTTGTACACTTTGCTAATGAGGAACATACTTACTCCAATAGTTCATAGTTGGACTTCTTGTCCAGGGCGTTTCCTCTCATCTCTTTGAAGAACCTCCTGGAAAGGAAACATTCAACGCACATGGAGAGAACAAGGTCAGATACATTCACTACAGACTGCAAGTTATTAAATATGCACCAACAACCGGTCATGTTTAACATTTTAGCAAGGCAGAGAATCCTGGTACAACTTCACCAACTTCCAAACACACATTTTGGCTTGTTGCCTGAAGAGGTTTTTTTTCTTTTATGTTTAATATTATTCTAAGAAGGAGGTGTTACTTTTAAATGATTGACATGAACGAATGTTGGCAAGAATGATGAGTGTAGCCAGGAGGAAATCTTTAAAGGTTTCACACAATAACAACTCATCTGGTGAAGAAAACAACTGTCATGGATATCGCCTTAATTGCTAGTTTAAGCAAAAAATAGATGGAATGAGTTTGTGAAATTTTGTGAAAGCGACACATTTTATATTTGGGAACCAAACTTGACTTTTGATGTAAAACGAAAATAACCATCTAACATGTCAGCTCTGTGTTATTCCTGCACAAAGTCATGAAGAGAGCCATCGCTACACATTGTGAGCATTTTTACCTGATTTCTAGACAGCCCAGTTTGAAAGCTACATCTTGTTCCACCTGTTCCCCAATCTGTGTCATGTAGTCATGCTTCACCTGGGGTACACAAATACACATGAAAGTTAATTAGTACAAACGAAGAATGTCAATCTCACGCACAAATACAGACACAGTTCAGCTGACCTACATTACCCAAAGGCAAACACACACACAGTCCTTCAAGCAGTGCCATATGTCTCAGTGCTGGCTAGCTGCGGCCAGAAAATGAAACATGTTTGTGTGTCTGGTTGTCTGTGTGTGTGTAAGTGTGTGTAAGTGTGTGTGTAAGTGTGTTTGTGTATGTGTGTACCTGGTGGTAGAAGTAGTTGAGTGTTGGTTTGTCTTCTGTAAACTGCTGCACAAAGCCTTTCGGAAGATACCGGATCCTTAACTCATATCTACAGGGTAGAAGAAAGGGAGAGTGATTAGGTCAGAAAGAGATCAGACCATATTGTATTTCACCGTAAATAGCTAAACAAGTTACTCAGTGTTTTTATAGTTTTAAGAGTAGAATCAAACTTTCAGGGCAAATGAAACACAATTTACACGAGTCTAGAAGCCTTTTCACAGCACATCTACATTGTTACCAAAAATGCAATTGCGAAAAATAGAAGGTTTACCGAATTTCTTTGAATCCACATCCATTAATGTATATTTTACAGCGTATTTATTTTAACAACTTGATTCCATGTTTTCAAACCGTCTTCTATCAGGTAAAAAACGGAATGAATACGTTTAAGTGAGGGCAAAGAAGAGCAGAGGAAGGATGCAGGGTCAACTAAAGAGAAAATATTTATTTAAAAAATAAGAAATCTTCAAGACAGTATAGTGACAAGGAGAAGAGAGAGGACAAGAGAGAAGATGAAGGCTATGAGGAAATTAATAATATGCACATGTGAAAATAAGATATAGGACCGATTGTAAGATCAGTGGAGGAGAGGCAGAAAAGGGACAGAGAGAGTTGTTGATCTAGTCAGACAAAGCAGGCATCTGGTTCTCTCTCTTTTTATGTCCACAGTGCAAAAGGTCTCCACCTCACAAAGCATCATCACCCAGACCGCCACAATAAGCGCAATATATACCAGAGCATTAGCATCTAAACTGCCTGACCACCTCCACCACGCCGCCCCACACAGACCTCTCATCAAAATACAACAGACGGGTTGCACTTTTTTTTATGATGTTGTTTGTTTACCACAAATCAGTTCTGCTACTTTGGTGTACAATAAGGCGGACTGCTGAAGCCAACTGTTTGAGAAGACAATGAGTTTAACTAAATGTACACAAACACATACATTCAGAAATTAAGCTCATCCACTGAACTGCATGTAAACTTAGTGAATATAATAATCATGTTATTACGTAATGTGTTATTCATTGGTTTTGCCTGTTGGTGGGGTACCAACAGATTACTGGTCACACGTTAAAGTTGCAGTTCAACTTTGTCTCAAGTAAGGATGGGTACCGAGCGCCGGAATTAAAGGGGCCCGGGGCTGAATTATTAAAGACTGTGGTACCGTTAAGCTCCAACGTTATCGTTTTTTTTTTTTTTTATCGGTGGAGACATTTAAATCACATTATATTGCATTATTCTTTATTTAAAAAATATATGTCATTATGTATTATTGCTACATAAACATTATATTGCAGTTTTAGTTTCGCCAACTCCGTTTCTAATATGCAATAATACTACAAAATGCGTCTATGATGTATTTTCGATCTTTCCAATCCAGACGAGAGATCTCTCTCCCCTGTCTGTGTGTGAGGGGGCGGGGCGGTTTACACACACGCGGCTGCTACATGCATGCACACACGGCGGGGATGGCGGAGAGNCCCAATAGCGGTAGCGCCACTTCTGTGACATAGAAGTGTTCAAATCTGGATCAGTCTGCATCAGATCCATTGCAGCCCCTTTTTTAGAGATTTGGGTATGGAGGAAAATAGAGAGGGTTGTGTTTTCTGACACTTGGTGAGTTCCCTGGAACACCGGGGACACATATTCATGTATAAAAGACGTACAAAAGTGCATTTTGCATGATAGGTCACCTTTAAGGTATACATAACATACCTGACGTGGAAACGTTACTCGTGGATGGGGCTTCAGAGCTACTAGAAAGATAGTCGAAAACGGTGCATTTCTCCGTCTGAATGTGGTGCACTTTTGCTAAATGTTTAGACAAATTGCTTGTGTTACCGCCCTTACATGCTAAACTCTTATTGCACTTTTGGCAATGAGCATTGTCCACATCGAGACGGGTAACATTTAACCACACCTTGGGGCGCTTAGTCCTCTCCTCCATCTCTGCCGTGTGTGTGTGTGTTGCATGCATCTAGCAGCCGCGTGTGTGTAAACTGCCCTGCCCCCTCACACACAGACAGGGGAGAGAGATCTCTCGTCTGGATNTTTAACACTGTCTTTGCATGGGCTGATTCTGTGAGAACAGCACCATCTACACATTGCCGTTCGAAAGCGCTGGAGACGCTGTAGTACATATGCCAGGCCTGTAGATGGTGCTGTTCTCACAGAATCAGCCCATGCAAAGACAGTGTTAAATTGAGCGAAATGAGGAATGGCTAAAATGCATGATCTGTTTGGTATTTTGAAAAATAAAAAGTATAAATATGCCTTATATAGGTATGGTCCTACACTATATTATTCAAATATAGCATGATAGGTCCACTTTAATCTTCCTCCAGAAGACTCGTTAGGCCTTGTTGTAGGCCTGTGTTGCTCTGTACCACTGTATTTATGCAGTAAATACTTGTTTTTTTGTTTGTTTTTTACAGTTCTATAAGTACACGTTATTACTTGTTGTACTGTTAGCCCAAAACCCAGCTAACACCCAACATGTATGCTCCACATGATCTTCCACCTGCTTTTCCCACAGTGCAGCACATTTCAACCTTTACAACCGCTCTGTCTATTCAATCAGATCCTAGCATAACAACAGCTCTGGGTCCTTTGCAGCCTGAAGCATTGATGTGTTGTGTCCAGATAGTATTCCTAGATTTGCCAGAGAAGACTCAACCTATTGTGACCTTAACCAATCTAGGTCAATGCCAACACCAAACCAACTAGCAAGATTTAGCTAAATCCAGGGTTATCATGTAGACAGAACCCAGAACGAGCTTCAGCAGAATGTGTTTGATATAAACTTTGTTATGCAACAGAGGAACAATGACACACTCTTCTTTTCTCACCTCCACTCCTCGTTTGGTCGTGCTTGTTGTAATTCATAATTTTCCCTGACGTGGGACACGCCCATATCAGGGTGGAGCCAGTGCACCTGATCCCTGGATTGGCTGTTGCTGAGGCGGAGGCCGAAACAGGACGTCCAGCGCACTTTGTGGATGTCCAGAATCTTCTGAATGATTCCCTGAAAATAAAGAGTAAACAATTTATTTTTATACACTGTTTTTCAATGGCACATTTCCAAAAACGTTAGGTTAAGGGTAACAAAAATATAATTTTTTGAACATTTCTGCAGAGATTTCTCGTAGTACTGGTGTATTTGGGTAAATTGAGCTGCACCGGAAACCATTTACCACTTAATCTGTAGTCATGGTGACTCAAGAATTCTATCAGTGTTTTCAGTGCTGATAAAAACAACATTTTCCCGGTTTCACAAAAACAGCAAGTCTGGCATTTTGTATCAGGTCAATGAGGGCACATGTGTGTGGGTCTACTTCAAGTGATTTAACATGACGTTCACACCCAAACAAGTTGACAGACATCATACACACATGCATGATAATGCTCACACAACCATGTGTGTTGCCACTCTAGGGGGTCTGACCTAGATTCTGAATGAAAAAAAGTGAAAAGATGGAGAGGAGAGGATTGGTATATCCTGTATGACTGCTGATGTTTGAGCAGTGTTGGGGAGTCCACCATTGGAGAGGATCTAAAAATACACTGCTAAGTAAACACACACACCCTGAGGATATGCTCTGAGGATTAATAGGACTAATGTAGAATAACAACAGCCTTATCCAGTTTCAGCCGTTTTAAATTGTATGTAATTGTAAGGCGTCTCCTATTTTTTGTTACCATGTCTACATTTAGTTCATAGTGTTCCATAAAAGCGTGTCTCTCTCCTTACCCTGACATCAGTTGCATCTCCATATCGGATATTGGAGGACCAGCAGCTGTTTTCAGTGTTGGTCTCAAAGTGATGGAAGACTTTCAGAACCCTCTCCACGGAGCCTGCCATGGTTCGGTCCGACACCCCCCCGCTCAGCCGCGACTTGGCGCCTCCCAGAAGGGCATGGTTGAGGTTGGGGTTCAGGTTGGGATCCAGGTAGGCCGTCGCCATGGTTTTCCCTGCCGACACTGCCGCTCCTGCTAGGTGTCTGTCATATTCTGGCATAGAGAGAAGATCAGATATTGGGGGAATGAGGAAGAATATAAAATAGAATCAGAAGAGTAAATTATAAACATTGACTACTGCCTCGCACACACGTACTATTAGGGTAAACATTTTTTACTAATTTTTATCTTGACTAATCATTTGGTTATCCTAATGCCCTAAAGGTGACATATTCACATTGCTTGTTTTGTGCAGCTAGCAGGCCTAAACCCAGAGACCTTCCTTGTACTATGATAAATGACAAGACGCAGACAATATTTAAACATTAAAAAAAGCTTGAACTAGATAATGTTTTGAGATTTTGGCAAAATAAATAAATAGGAGAGTGTCAATCGGCTACTCGAATAATCATTTGTTTCAGCTCAAATTTAAATGTCTTGTTTGGTCCAACTAACAGTTCATGAACCTAAAGATATTGAATTCATACGAAGACATACAAAAGCAGCAAATCTTAACAAATAATAAGCTGGTTTCAGTTGGAATTGAAGAGGTAGCGCATTTACAAAAAAAAATGCTTTCAGCTTTAGTGTGTACAATGCAATAATACAATGGACTGATGCACTAGTCATGTGGATTTCAAGTCCTGTTCATCTTACTTGAACAGCAAATGCCTCACATAGATAAGACATTCTTTGGTAAAGGTATAAAAGAAACTGAACAATGAAATACCGGAGAGAGAAATAAAGAGAGAGAAGTACAGTCAGTCAGGGTCAAAGCTTAATGTCACCACCTGGGTCTATGACACAAAGAAGACAAAGAACCTCAGGCTGATGCTTTTCCTGAATAAGAAGTTGTGGCATTGACACACTTCCTGGAATTCCATTGTAACTTCAACTGGGAATGCCCGACAAGAACTACCTCCTCTCTGTATGAGGGTGCAACATGTGTGCTGTTGTTGTCATGACAATGTGTACTGCTTCTCTTTTTTCCTGTGCTTCTCCTCCTCTCTCCTCCATTAAAGGAAATTGATATGTACTTGCAGGCAATTACACCTGGCAGGAAAAGACAAAGAAAGCACTTCCTCACTGTCATACACAAACGCATAACTGAGAGGAAAGCCTACAGTTAACTTGTTGAGGGATATATCACAGTTAGATAAAATACGTACTAACATGTTATTTTCTCAATTTCATATGGTAAGGCCTTTAAATCAAATCATTCTGATGGCTTTAAGCACATTAGCCTGCCTCAATTTATGTATCTCTTGCACACACACACACACACACACACACACACACACACACACACACACACACACACACACACACACACACACACACACACCTGCATAACCATGGTAGCTTTGGCTGTACACCAAGTCAGTTCCCATGGAGTCATATGTCACACTGTGTACTTGTGTGTTAGAAAAAGAGATTTCATTCATACCTCTTTCCCAACACATGGGGAAGGGGCTACAGCCGCTCATCGCCATGGAAACACATGTCTGTCCCTCCCTGTCTCTGTCTGCACTAAGGACAGATAGACAGCTTGCAGTCTCACAGCCACGCATCACACACACACACGCTGAACTTCTCGTGTATAGAAGGGCTACATAAATAAACACACACACACAAGATCCTGACACAACTGCAAGAACGCGCTCACATAACCCAAACACACAGACACAAGGTCGGTCTCCAAGGCAGAAATCTTTGTCTTCAACTTTTTGTCAACAGCCTCGTTAGCCAACAGTTAGTTCCAGAGCAGTAATCCTCAAACAGGCTGATTTTCTGCTCAGTTAGCACTTTGTCCAGTGTGAAGATGCTACATCGAACAGGGAAAGTGTCACACAAATAGATTTCTTCGTCCGTCTAAATCCATTCTGTAATCCATGTTATCCACAGTAGCATGAGCGATGTAAAGTTAGCTTCTTCCACAAACTTCCCACCTCTTCCTATTCAGTCCACTTCTAAATTACTCCCGAGCGGCCCCTCTCTGATGACACAACACTGTTTGTTTTTTGCCCAATTTCTGGCCCAAGCCGGCAATCCATGGTTACGCAGTTGTCAGGAAAGAGTCAAGCGATCTTCACTCAGTGGAGTCCCTGTGATGGTGACAAAACTGCTAGTCCAGAAAAAGTTGACAGCCAAATCCAACTTTAAGTGTTGATCCAATGGACATTCAGTTAGTGAGTGGTCACAGAGAGGGAGAGACAAATACTTAGTGTTGAAAAAACAGAAAGTGTTCTTCACGGAAAAAGAATGTGAGAGAGAAAGAGTGAGGCAGAAAAACAAAGGAAAGAGACGCAGAGTGAAAAACAGAGAGGGAAATGCAGCGATTGTTACAGGATAAAGAGAGGAAAAAGAGGACAGAGCAGCACGACTAAACAAAGTTGAGTGGAGAATGAGAGAGCTTGAGAGAGAGAGAGAGAGAGGGCTGCTGGAAAAGCAGGAGGAGCTAAAAACTATTAATATGCTAATCTCGCCAATCTCTTGTGTTCAATGAAAATAAAAGCTGACCTCAGAACAGCCCATTATGTTCTACCAATATTGCAACCATCTCAAATGCAACACAAAAGAAGAGGAAATATATATTAACTTGACATTTTCTAAGAAATTACAAGACACATACACAGTATTTAATTCACTGACGAGAAGAGGAACAACTAATCAAAATCGCAAAAAGAAAACCAAAAAGTACAGAAACAGTCAGTCATCCATTTAATAACTTCATTATCCAACATTGTGTTTACACTCCTCTAGGACAGAGAACTCCAAACTGTCCAAAATTATATAACAAGCAATAAGTTTGGGAAAAAACACAATGATACAGCACAGCTACTGCTTTTTTTTGTCGAACAAAGATGGATAAATCAGAAATATGCCAAATATGTGTCTTATTAGATCACAATTATTGATAACAATCTGCTTAATTTGCTAAGAAATCATTAATACATCGCAATGATTGCAATACTTTGCCAAATGGTTACTATTGTCATAACTTTTTATTGTGACTTCAGTATCCTGATAATATCATACGTTCAGGGTTAATGGTTATTTCCACCCCATATTTAACACAAACTACAACATCCCATCAATTCTACTCTTTCTTCCCCAATTGGCCAGCTTACTCAAATATAGATCAACCATCTTTCTTCCTAACGAAATATTGTGTATAAAGAAACAATATGTAAAAATGAAAAGAAAACAATCCCTGAAGTTGTTAAGACAATAGAAAGAGAAGAAAAGGGCATCTCTGCCAACACAGCCGTTGCCCTGGCTGTGCCCAGCATGTAAACTAGCAGCTGTTAGCAACATGCCAACCAATTATAGAATAGAATAGAATCGGAGGGATGAAACCCTCTTTAATGGTCGCACATGCAGAGCACACAGCACACAGTGAAATTTGGCCTCTGCATTCAACCCATCCTAGTATCAGGAGTCTCAATCAATCACACTTCATACTGCACATCCAGTGTCGTTCAGCTTGTACTTTGGGGTCACACACTCTCGAGCTCTCCGAGTGCCCGAGGTGCTGCCCTGAAGGCTCATCTCCGAGGCAACGTGCCTTCAATATCCTGCGAGCAAGTGGCACCTATCACAGTCTGTGGGCGTCGCCACTGACCAGATGCCAGCCTCCATAAATCAAATGGACATTTATACAGCCGAACACATCCACTGAAGAACAAAAGGGACTACAACCAGCTACTGAAAAGCACTAATGCACAAAGCAAAGTAGGAAAATATGACATCTTAATAGTACCTGATCTGGACCTCACCTTGGAGCATTTACAGGAATGTGTGTGTCAATGTGTGTGTGTTTCCTTAATGTTACATCTCAGGCATTGGCCATTGTTATGAAAATTGAGTGGTTGCAGGGGCTGTGTGTGTGTGTGTGTGTGTGTGTGTGTGTGTGTGTGTGTGTGTGTGTGTGTGTGTGTGTGTGTGTGTGTGTGTGTGTGTGTGTGTGTGTGTGTGTGTGTGTGTGTGTGTGTGCAAGCCTTTTGTCAGAGGGCCGGATGTTGCCATGAATAGGAAGCGCTCTTTTGGGACTGTGCCAAAGTCTGTCTCTATCTCGCTGTGTTATGAACACGTAATTATTTTTGCAGGCGAAGGAGGGAGACACAACCTGCATCATCTACTGAAATGCAAATACAAATTCAATGATGCTGCTAAACCTCAGACGTATAATAGCTACTTTGATGTCTGTATGTGTGTGATTTCAGTATAAATAAGTATGTTCTCACCCATGCCTTGAAGTTAAAATTCAAAGGCTATTTAAACGTATTGAATAAATTGACTGAGTGCCTTCCTGCTTTTAATCCACCTCACTAATCAAGTCCAAAAGCGGTTCCTTTAGGCTCAGCTTGATGTTTAATTTGTATATATATTTTAAACTGATAGGATTAATCTGTTAAATTTCTGTTTGACAGGTTATTGGTTAAACGGTAAATTATTAACATACATAGACGGAAGGAAATAAAACCTGTTTTAATCACTGGTACTCTGGAATTACCCTTGAAACATCCTGTCCAACTTTGCTTCTGTATTTACATCTCCATTGTTATTCTCTTGCTTCCTCAAAGCTGGCATTTAATGTGATTCACATGACACTGGCAACTTAATTCATGATATAACGGACCAGCAAGGCAGCCTTTCGGGGCATAATAACATGACACATACATATGCTTCCCTGCTTATTTAATTTTAGTAAGGCCAAAGGAAAAATATATATACCCTTAGGTATTTTGGAGTTCAACTGTCTTCAAAGAGTATATTGTGTATGTGGCAGTGTGAAGATTACAATTAGTCACACACTCCAACTAGAGCGATGTTCATTTTCTCATTTCCCTCATCCCTGTCTACACTAATGAAACCAAAACACCCACACACACACATCGATAGCCCCACTGTTTTCTCTCTTCTTACACAATCACACATATGACTAGTGAGTGATCATCAGTGAAGCAGCAGCTGTGTATGAAAGCTACTCACCTGTGTAGTAGACAATCCGGGAAATATCTGAAACAAGCACAGAAATAACAAAGTCAGTTGTTTAATGAAGAGTCACTGAATAAAGACATCATCAGGGAACACAAATCCAGCTGAAGTGTATGGAGTCCCACAGCAGGTGTTTCCAGATCAGTTACTGAATGAATGTGATTTGTTTAGAGTAACAGAGCCTGCTGAATAGCTTCATCAATCAAATTAATCAATGTCCTGTTGACTTTTCCACAGGATATTGATTGATTAAAAAAAATCCATACCCAATTGTAACATGTTATACACCCATAGGAGGTTTGATAAAGCTTCATTGGTTACGCTAACTAGCTTAACTGGGAAATGGACAGTAATAAGGTTTCAGATCAGTCTACCATAACCTTTGTTTGAGAGGCCAGGGGGGCCTGTTCCTTTGACCCTAACGTGGCTTTTTAATGGCTAGCTTTATTCTTTTTCAGCTTACAATCACAGAGGGGGTGGGCAAGTCATTCTGCTTTATTACTTCAACCTTTATTTTGCAGCAGGAGGAATTAAAGCACTGGCAACATTCAGTCTGTGGTAATTTGGAGATCTACAGACACAGGTGATGCTGCATTTACATTTTTCTTTAAACTAAGTGAATTCTGTTTGACTGTAAAAGTTTGCCAAAAGTCACCTTTATTTTGTCTTTATATGCATCCTACATGGGGCACGTGAAGAGAAAACAAGCAACACAAAGTTGGATATCATTCGCCGTATGGTGCAAAGAAGGCTCCTCAGTCCTACTGTAATTATCGAGGGGCTTTGTATTCTGCACTACATTGATATACTACAACTCCCACAGGAAGAGCCTTTTGAAAACTTGACACCCGAACCTATCACATCGAGATGGAGCAGTGATAGGGCTGTGTGCAGGAAGAGGTCAGCAGGATAAGTGCCTAAGAGCTTTGAACACACTGATGTACACTCACGAAATTATTGCAGGGGTTGTCAACAAAAATGATGTAATGGTAAGAAAACCCACACATCAAGAGCAAATACCAGTGAGGTGACTCATTGTATTATCGACACGACTCTTTGTAACATGAAACCATGACCCTACAGATAGAGTGTGTGTGTGTGTGTGTGTGTGTGTGTGTGTGTGTGTGTGTGTGTGTGTGTGTGTGTGTGTCTGGACAATGGGGTGTTACTGGAGCGTGCAGTCGTCTTACGATGAAACAACATCACCCCTCAGGCACCAATCACACACATTATTCACATTCAGACAAACATCAAGCAATTATTCAAAACTTGTTACAACAAAAATTAAATATGTTTCACACAGACAGACACACCAACACACAGATGATGCATACTCCAGATAATCCTACATGCAAGCAACATAATAAGGTCACGTGAACGCACGACTGCTCATACACATTTATCTTCAAAGCCACACACTGACACACACATTCACTCAAGTGTGTAGAGTTCAGGTGCCGTGATAAAGCTAACTGGATTACTGGAGCGGCATGCATGGTACTGTATCACAATCAGACCAGATACACAGCGTATAATTTATCTGACATATTAAGGATGAATGAACCAGTGAGATAGTGTGGGCTCTAAATATTACACCAGTCAGTTCAATAAATCAAAACATCTGACACTTATGACCAATTACATTTTGTTCCCTGGTGTTAATAAACAGCATATGTATGTACATTTAAAACATGTTTTTCTAGAAGAAGAAAATCAAACGCAACATTGTCTTTCATTTTGTATGAGAGCAAACACTAGGGAGCTAGTTCATAAGGCTAAAAAATGAATACTCAATTCTGATTGGCCAATGAAAGCCTGGCCTTACTGGCTTGACTCTATGCTCTGTTAGAATAGAGTAGGACCTTTCTAATGTATGTCAAACAAACTATGCTAATTCTGCCTCTGGTCAAGTTCAAGTCCTTCTTTTAAAATGTATTTTTGTGGAGCGTTCCCGTATTCGAATCAAGGGTCTTAGGATAAAGGGTGTTGTATAAAGAGTAAGACTATTCATTCTCCTGAGACATGTTTACGATTTATATCAATTGTACCTTTTCAATGCTTCTCCCTGGCAAATCCAAGATCAATCATCACATCTTAAGAACGGTGGGATTAAATTCTTGAGTGGAACAGCAGGTATGAGTGAAGCATGTGTGTGTTTGAGCGTGTGCTTCTTATTTATCAAATTTACATCAATTATAAACCAAGATCGAAATATTAAAACATACTCAAATATAGATGACTCAACCTAGAAACAAAAAGCCAGCGGGGGATTGTTACGTGCCAGCCTTTACAACATACACACACAGAACACACATGTGTAAACAGAACATACTGAAATAGACAACACCTACACACAGAGTCATGTGGGAAACACTCTACATAAGGG